GTTTGACACCCATCCTATGGCATCCCATTTCTGCTTAAAAAAATAAGCCAATTCGCAACTCAGTGTTTCTATAGCTCAGAAGACTTTCCTTCCTGCAGCTATTTGTTTGTGACTGCCACACTGTTTTTAATTGGGAACATTAATAATAGATTTTGAACCACTTTGCATTTCAACCTCAGAAGCACAACAGTAGTTCCCACAAGGCTTGCAGAGTAATAATCCATCAGGTCTGATTATCTTAGCTTTCTTGCAGGACTGGACATACTAACTATACATAGAAACTATGAGCATTGTGACCTAATGGGATTATGTAGATTTGTGAAACTGCTGATGGAGCTAGATTTCTGTTTACACTCCAGAGGGAGGTATGCAGATCAAACTTGTGCTGTATGTGTTTGTGTCTTTTCTCGCACTCATTGCATTCAGAAACAAGCTCATCCATGAAAAGGACACGTGTGTCAGCATGCCACTGTTTTCACCATCATCATCATCAGCACCAGCAGCTGCAGAGGCAGCAGGATGCTTGCCTCACTGTCTGGGAGTGAAAGGAGCAGACGGGTGGAGACTCAAACCACACCTTCTTCCACACCTCTGTCCTTCTGCATAGTAAAACACTCATCTTCACCCTACACTCTATGTCAGTTTGATTTTATTTGAGAAACAATAAGTTTCCCTGCCGGGATTGCATTTTCCCACATACTGAAATTGTCTCTTCACACATTTAACTCACCCACTGAGACCTCCTGAGCAAAGGCGAGCGAGATGAGGAACAAAGGCAGTCCCACCGCCAGAAACGTGACTATTTTGTCCACAGCCAACTCGAGACGGATGCCTTTGTACTTGGTCTCGGTCGGGTCCTTTAACAAAAAGTCGGAAAAGACGTACTCGGTGGCTACGTGTGCGATCGCCATGTCAGACGGGAACAAAAAGTCGGTGCCGTCTAATTGATGGGAGAGTCCGTTTCTTTTCAATTAAGCAAACAGCTTCTGGTGTTTCAACGATGTTGAGTCGCTCTCACGGTGGATAATGT